CAGGGAGATATCGCTGTAACTATGTCAGCCCTGAAGGCTGGTCAGAGCCCAGCGACCTGGAGCTGAGGTGGTGACAGGTGAGAGGACACTCAGGGTCCCAGCCCCAGGCTCTGTCCTCAGGAGAGGAGTCGGCTCTGGGGCGTCTCCCTCTCACAGCCCAGCCCTGAGGATGCTGCGGGAGGTGGGAGCCCATTAAACACCAGTGCCTCCTTCTCTCCTAGGAGCCTACAGCAAACCCACCCTCTCAGCCCTGCCCGGCCCTGTGGTGGCCTCAGGAGGGAACGTGACCCTCCGATGTGGTTCACCGAAGGGATATCAGCATTTTGTTCTGATTGAGGAAGGAGAACACAGGCTCCCGGACCTGGACTCACGGCAGCTCCACAGTGGGCAGTTCCAGGCCTGTTCCCTGTAGGCCATGACCCCCAGCCACAGGTGGACGTTCAGATGCTATTACTATTGCTAGGGAGACCCCCAGGTGTGGTCCCACCGCAGTGACCCCCTGGAGATTCTGGCCTCAGGTGAGGGACCACGGCCTTCTCTAATCCACTTTCGGGGCAGCTGACAGGCTGTGGGGGGTTGGCTGGTGACTGGCTACAGAGGACCCAGAGTGATGTGTGGATGGACGGGCTGCAGGCGTGAGGGAGACCCCATGGGAGAGCTCTGACATGGGAAGAGGAGGCCTCGTACCCTCACCTGGCAGGGCGGCTCAGGAAAGGCACCGGTGTGTTTGCTGTAGAGTCCCGGCTCTCAGGAGAGGAGGAAAGAGATCCCAGGCTGGGGGCCAGGGCTAGGGAGACCCCACTCCTCGGAAATGACTCCAAGACAGCCCGGGTGAGAAGGAGGCCCTGGGGTCAGAGACTCAGAGTGAGAGACAGTGAGACCTGCAGGGCCAGGACAGGAGAAGGAAGGGCGTGGGAGGAACCAGCTGTCACAGTCCCGGCTCCTCTTTCCCTCCAGGCGTGTCTAAAGGAAGCCACTCTCCTCACTGACCCTGCAGAGCCCTGTCGTGGCCCCTGGAGAGACCTTGACCCTGCAGTGTGGCTCTGATAATCGCTCTGACAGATTTGCTCTGTACAAGGAGGGGAACGTGACTTCCTCCAGAGCCACAGTCAGCAGCGCCAGGCTAGGCTCTCCCAGGCCAACTTCACCCTGGAGTGCGGGAACAGGGGCCGGTGCGGATGCTGCGGTGCTGGCCTCTCTCCCAGTGGTCGGCTGCCCGATCCTGGACATCCTGATCTCCAGGTAGGGGAGCCCAGCAGGTTCAGTCAGGGACCCAGGCTCTGCACAGGCCCTGCCGTGAACCCCAGGTGTTGATGGCTGGGATGAGGCGTGGGCACAATGGAGGGAAACAGATAGAGACAGGGGATGGGAGAACTCAGAGAAAACAAAGACAGAGAGACGGAGGGCCCCAGAGAGAGGCCTGGGGAGGTCTCAGCTCAGATCAAGGTGGGAGCCCCTCACCCATCCTTCTTCTCTCAGGTTGATTCTCGTCACGATCTCCTCTTAGTTTTGGCAGGCCCCGCAGTGGCTTCAGGAGAGGCAATGACCCTGCTGTGTCAGTCACGGGGGCAGTTCCACACTTTCCTTCTGACCAAGGGAGGGCAGCCCATCCCCGCTGCGTCTGAGATCCAGGCACGAGCTCCTAAGTACCAGGCTGAATTCCCCATGGGTCCTGTGACCTCAGTCCACACAGGGCCTACAGAGTCTCCCAGCTCCACACACTTCACAGCCCCACCTGCTGTCTCTCCCCAGTGACCCCCTGGAGCTCGTGGTCTCGGGTGGGGGCCTGATCCTGTCCTCACAGGCTCAAGGCTCAGCTCCGGGTGAGCCCCGGAGATCTCAGCTGGGATGGAGTGAGGAGGCTTAGCCAGAGGGACGCATCCCTCAGAGGAGGAGGCCAGCAGGCTTCTCCTAGGCATGGCCACCCGTTCTCCTTGCCTGGCATGCAGAAAGAGTACCAGGTGGGCAGAGAAATGGTTCAGGATCCACTGGGCGGATGCAGGAGAGTGGGAGTGGAAGGGTGCACTCCATGGACGGCCCCGAGTCCCTCACCCGCCTCCTGTGCTCCTTGGGACCCTCAGGGCTCAGCCCCCACCCACAGAACCCGCTCCACAGCTGGTGAGTCACTGAGGCCTCTTGGGGAGCGCGGCGTCCCCCAGGGCAGTCTGGAGTCTCCCAAAGGCCCCATTCCCCTCCCCTCAGGACAGGCTTGTGTCCCAGGGGCTCAGAGGCTGGGCTGGTGGCAAGGCAGAGGGAAGTGTTGAGGCCCAGCCTGGGGAAAAGCAGCTGGGTTCATGTGGCGAGCAAGGCAGCCCCAGCCCTCACCTCCTGTCCTGACCCCAGTCCACCGGACCAGCCCTCAACCCCCTCAGGGTCAGGCAGCGAGTAGCCTCCTGGGCTCGTGGTCTCCAGGTAAGGGGCCCTGACCCTGTCCTCTCTGAACTCAAAGGCTCAGCTCAGGCTCTGCACCCAGGAGGCTCTGGGACACTGAAAACAGGGGAGTGAGGAGAATCAGCCCATGGGAGGTGAAATAGATGGGGACCTCCCACCCCTGGCTCCCACCCCTGAAGTCCCAGCAGGGTAAAGAGCAGGGAGGGCTGAGAGGAGGCAGGGTGAACCTTGGAGGAAGTGAGATTAGACTGAGGGTTGAAGACGGAGGCCCCACCTGCTCCCCTCCTCATGTCTCCACCTCCCAGAATCAGAGCTCTGGGTCCCAGCCCCCAGCAGACACCTCCTGGAGAGAGAAAGAATTCAGAGTGCCACCTGACCCTCTCCTTAGCCCCTGGCAGCTCCCAGCACTCAGCGCACACCTAGCCTCACAGGGACCCACCTGCTCCGCAGCTCAGGGGACTGTGCACGGCTCCTCTTCTGCGCCGCCCCAGCCACATTTTTATTTGGGTTTTTAATCTCATACTGGCCTTTTTGTACAACCTGGCAGTAGATATGCATCAGCCTGTTTTTATTCTCTTTGGTTGTGTAACAGCCCTGATCTTACGCACTCCCTAGAGTTTAGTAAACCTCAGATAGAAATGTGGACTTCCCTTATTTCTGGACGTTTGCTGTGGAGAAGTGGGAGCTTATCTTTTTAAGAAAAGTCAAGTGACTGGCACTACTCCTGAAACCTACAGCACTCTCCCAGATCTCAGAGGAGGAGAGACGGACAGGGAACAGAACAGAGACATGCTGGGGCCGCCCCTTTTTCCTGGGCAGTTCATCCTGGCCTAGTCTCAATCCCCAAGACCCCGAAGCTCAGCTCCCCTCCTGCTCTGCCTTCCCCTCCACCCCATAGACAGGCGGTCATTCATCTCTGAAGAACAGGCTGAGACCTTTCTGGGACCTGCTCTTTCTGGAGCCTCACAGTGCTCCCTGTCTGCAGGTCTCCATGCGCCTCCTTCCTGGCTCTTTCCTACTGAGAATCAACTTCAATGTCACCTCCAGTGTGTGACTTTCACTGATGACACAGCTCAGCCCAGACCTGCCTGCTTCTCATCTACGTCAAGTAATTAACCTACACCGTGCAGCTGAACTCCCTCTCTCTCTCTTTCACCATCTCTGCACATACACATATGTGTGTCACACCGACATCTTATGTGACATTAAAACCTAGTTATCTGTATATGTATACAGATAATATATACTCACACATAAACATAGATCTCTACCCATACATCTAAAACTATCCCTGTGACTGATAAATTTCCACTATTGTGGTTTCAGATGTTTGTTCAGATGTTTGTTCAGAAAGCAGAGAGAGCTTTTAGGGTACACCATATATATAACATAGATTTCTATTTGTGTTTGTATTTTTTGGTATGTGCCATCACATTCACAGTGCTGCCTATATGAATAATTAGCTACCTAGAATTAAATGGAGAGTGAAACCTCAGGGGGTAGTAGCTGAGCTGCAGAGTGAAGAAGGCAGCCCCAGACTTTCACTACTTTGTACTCTGTTGTTCAGGAACTCCTGATGTCAACCACTTCATCACAGCCTGGAGTCCTCATTGGTGGATCTGTGAAACTCTCATCTCAGGGAATCAGCTTATGTGCTCCTGTGTCCCAGGCTGCACGGAGCGGCACACAGGAGCTCAGTGACCTCTGTACTGGGGACCACTTTCCTTGCAGATCCTGAGCCCTCGAGGTGCAAGAAAACTCTCCCCAGATGACTCAGGAGCAATGTTTAAATTCATAGAACACAGAAAAACTGAACTAGTTCCATGAGGAGACTGGGAGAACCCTGCTCCAGGAGAGGAGGGTTTGTTGGGGACTCATGGAAGCGTAATCATGGGTGGAAGAACAGGCGCTGGGCCGGGAGGCTGGCTCGGAACCTGCCTCTGTTTCATTCTCGGGAGGGCTGAGACCTCACCCCATCACAAAACAAGTCAGACCCCAGAACTGATGGTGAGGAGATGCTCTCAGATATGGGACTGGCACAGAGGGTCAGGGTCTGTCAGCTTGGGAGATGGGGGAGCATGCCTGGTGGGCATCCAGGATCCTGGGTGATGATCTGCCTGACCTCTGTCACCTCTCTGTCCATGATCCCCAGCCTCATCCCCAGATTTTGGTGGAGAATCTCATCATGGGCATAAACAAGCAGTGCAGTGGTCTCGGGGATTCTGTTGTTTGAGGCTCTGCGCAGCCGGGAAGCCCCAAGAGGCAGCAGAGGTAGGAACAGCAGAGAGGACAGTGCACCCTTTGGAGTGGTGGAGACCTCAGAGTGTCACGGCCATGGAGCAAGAAAAAAAGGACATGCTGCCAGGCGCAGTGACTCACGCCTGTAATCCCAGCACTTTGGGAGGCCAAGGTGGGTGGATTACCTGAGGTCAGGAGTTCAAGACCAGCCTGGCCAATATGGGCAAAATCCCGTCCCTACTGAAAATACAAAAATTAGCCAGGTGTGGTGGAAGGTGCCTGTAATCCCAGCTACTCGGGAGGCTGAGGCAGGAGAATCAGGGACAGAGGTTGTAGTGAGCCAAGATCGCGCCACTGCACTCCAGCCTGGGTGACAGAGTGAAATTTCGTCTCAAAAAAAATTGTAAAAAAGGAATCAAAGAAAAAAAGGACATGCATGGAACCAACACCAGCGACTCCCTCTCACCAAGGACCAAGTAGCCACCACTGTCGCTGACAGTCTCACCTGTGACCAGCAGACTGTTCGCCTTTGAGTGGACCGGCAAGTCATCTGGTGGCCGCTTGACGACATGACGTGCATTCAACCAGGAGGGGGCAGCAAATCCTCCTGACCCGGATGGATCCTGGCGCTGAGACGGGTTCCTCTGAGCTCACTGCGGCGCTCCGCCAGGAAGCAGAGTCTCCCACCTGTTAAATGGAGCATCTCATGACTTAATCTCAGATCGAGGGATCTACACGCACATGAAATCAGTGGGGCAATGAGAACAGGGCTACGTGATATCCTGGGGATGACCTGAGATAGCATGCGTGCCACATAGTGGTTGGGTGCTGCTGGGGCTGACAGAGCATCAGAATGGCCTCTTACAGTAGATGCCAGAAACGGTTTGTTCATGAGACTCTGCACTTTAGGTGCTCTCTGATGGTGTAATAGACATAGATATAAAACAGAGATATAGATAGCTGTAGACAATATACATATTCATGTGAATGAACACTAAATGATGCTATGTCTTTTTCTTCTAATATTTTTGTTCTTATTTATTTTTCTATAATGGGCTCTGCAAATGAAAATGCTATGTCTTTTCAGAGGTAGAACACGTGGGCTGGGAAAGGAACGGAGTGTGTCATCAATAGCCCCCATCCCCACCCTTCCAGGTGACCCACTGGGGAGATAAGCACATTCTGGGCCTGCACTTTTAGGTGATTTCGAGTTAGATTATCTGCCTGGTGGAAAATTACCACCAGGGAAGAAAATAAGGGTTACCCTATGCCAAAAGTGATCACTTTGCCCTTTCCCTTTTTTTTTTTTTGCTAACTTTAAAATGTTTTTTTAAAATAAATAGTTGCTTGGTATACAGCTTTACAAAGTTTTTAATGTTTCTTTGGCAATGGAATATGAAGGAATTTTACAAATATATAAAAAAGATACGTTTGCCTAAGAAACAGTATTTACCGTGTGTACATAGCTGACTGACGAAATTCTCTACCATCCAGCACCCTAATTAATTGACGAAATAAGCTACTTCACATGACAAGATCCCCAAAAGAAAGGAGAAGAAAGATACACACAAACAGACACCCTCCTTGGCTCAGAACACAGTATCACGGCCCTATCTGCAGACAACCTGCAATTACCACATACAATTCAGTGATTTTAAAAAAACAAAACAAAAGTTTCGGTGATGAAACAATACTTATAAGTCCCACTGAATTACTGCTTTAGTTTAACTATACAGAAGAAATTACTTAACCTTCTGCTATTACAAATATAGTTGATTCTCATGTCTTAAGATAAGCCTTCCTCCCCCAAAACCTGACTGCATTTTATCTCTGAAATTAAACGGAGAAACAAACAAAAAACAACTACCCAGTGATGGTGGCAAACGTACAGGGAATTCACTTCTTCATTCTTCTCAAAGACTGAAATCAATTTCCGGGACCATGAAGAGCTAGACATTCACCTATTTTCAGAGATTTGTCTGTAGACTATGCAGCAGCTTTGTTGTCTTTCTTTCAGAAAGCAGTACCATCAATTCAGACCTTTTAGGGGCCAAAAGCTGTGTTTTTCCTACATTCAAAATCTGCAAACTCTCGGTCCCCAGAACCTGCTCTGAATCCACCATGGTCAAGGTACCACCTCTGCCACCACCACGCGCTCTGCCACCACAGAAACCAAGACCTCCTCTGCCTCTGTATCCTCCACGGCCACGGTTTGGACAAAGTGGGATTCCAAATGTTTCAGCATTTAATCTTCCTTCAGTCCAGGTTGGTCTCTGTTCTCTATTGTCATCACAAGAAATATTATCAAAGAAGGATTTAGTTTGGTCATAGTAGCAATTACATCCAGGTGGAATTTCTTCATCAGCATGTCCGTCACTGTTTTGGGTATCAACTCCTGAGTCTCCTTTATCTTCACCATTTCCAGGCTTCTCCCATTTCTCAAGTTTATCTTCTTTTAATTTATTATGAAACTCTCTGCCAATCTCTTCCTTGTTGAATTGTGCATTTGGACTTTCAAAGTCAAAGTCTTTCTCAAGTTTCATTGGCCCATCTCGCCGAATACCAAATCTTCCCCTGCCACCCTGACGACCCCCACGCCCTCTTCTTGGCGCTGAAGGAGCACTTGGAGCTACTTGTCTCTTGTTATCATTTCTGAGTTGCTCATTTTCTGGCCTTGGAACGTTGAGTGCTTCAACTCACCTGTGCTTTTGATTCTCTCTTGCTTTTCGGCTGGTGGATAGCACAGGCCTGGTTGACACAAGACTCCTTCTCCCAACACGTGCTGGAGCAGGTAAGCAAGCCCAGGCAGTCTGCACTGCTTGTTCCATGGTTGGGGTTTTTCTCAAAGGGTCGAACTGAGCGCTTGAACGACCCTGAGATAATTGTGTTTTTAGAGATCTTGTATCCTGTGTAAAGGCAGAACCAACCGCACTACTCTGGAGCAAGGTACCACTGTTTGATATTTCTATTCCAAAGGAGGTCAAAGAGCTTCCAGCAACACCAACACCACCAAACTGCTGCCCCACTAAGGAATGCGGACTGAACTGGCTGGATGTGGGCATCCTGCCGAAAGGCCCGTAAGAACCCACGGACTGAAACGAAGAAGTCGATGAGCCTAGTGAGAACTGCACGATAGCTGGGTCTTGAGGCAAAGAACACCGTGGTTTTGGTGGCTCGCAAACAGTGAGGTCTTTCTGTCTCTCCCACGGAATATAAGGATTCAAAGACTCCACCTTGTGGCGGTATTGGACTGTCTGGCGGTCTGTCTTCTGGACCAAAGGACCGAAATTTGGCGAGGGCTGCAGGGGACTGTTCGGTGTCACGGTGTAGAGGATGCCCTCGTAGTGGATCTCCACCTTGGACTGAGGCTGATGCTTGTTGATGTTAAGGGTGTTCCCGCTCAATGGCGCCGGGGCGCCGCCGCTCCTGGCCGCTAGCAAAAAAGGAGACCCCACGCCGCTGCCGCCCGCTCCTAACGCCGTCTGCGCACGCCGACTCCTGCTTCCCTTCAGACCCAACATGGCGGCAGCGCCCGTTCCGCACGCCGCCGCCGCCGCCGCACGCCGCACGCCGCCGCACGCCGCCGCCGCACGCCGCCTCCTCCCGCGCTTCAAATCCAACATGGCTGCAGCACCCGCTCCGCGCAGCTCCCCCAGCCTCTCGCCCTCAAGCCCCTTTGCACTTTTCTTTCTTCCGCTGCAACCTCTGCTTCCCGGATTCAAGTGATTCTCCTGCCTCGACCTCCAGAGTAGCTGGGATTACAGGCGTGTGTCAGGATGCCCGGCTAATTTGTTGTTGTTCTTCTTTCTGAGAGATAAGGTTTCACCATGTTGGCCAGGCCGGTCTCAAGTGATCCACCCTCCTCCGCGTGCCAAAGTGCTGAGATTACAGGCGTGCGCCACCGCGCCCGGCCAACTGTACCCTGTTCTTTTTATTTTCTTTATCACAGTAGAACAGCCGGTAGGGAGAATTATGGGCAGCGTAGATCACTCACTGGGCACTGACGGAGGCTCCGCAGTGGACGCAACCATGATGGGTGTCGTGGGTTGCATTGTAACCCCAAAAGGACATGTTGGCGCCTTAACCCCCTTACCTGTGAGTGTGAACTCATGCAGAAACAGGGTCTTCAGAGATGTGATTAGGTAAATAAAGATGCAGTCATGCTGGAAGAGGACAGGATCTGAATCCAGTATCACTCACGTCCTAATAAGACAAGGACGAGACAAGACGCGCAGGTAAGACTGCCATGTGGGGATGGATTTATGTTTACCATCAAAGCTGAATCATTAGGGTTCGTTACACTTTGAAATATGTTTCTGTTCTCCTCTCATATTAGAACTCCTAGAATAGTAAATAGAAATAAATATATTGGCCGGGCACGGTGGCCCATGCCTGAAATCCCAGCAGTTTGGGAGGCTGGGGTGGGGGTATCACTTGAGGCCAGGAGTTCCAAATTGGCATGGTCAACGTGGCAAAACCTCATCTCTACTAAAAATACAAAAATTAGCCAGGCGTGGTGGCAGGCACCTGTAATCCTAGCTACCCCGGAGTCTGAGGCGGGAGAATCACTTGAACCCGGGAGGTGAAGGTTGCAGTGAGCCAAAGTTGCGCCACTGCACTCCAGCTTAGGCAACATAGAAGTGCAGATATCTCTTTGATAGACTGATTTTCTTTCTTTTGGGTATATGCCCGGCAGTGGGATTACTGGATCATAGGGTACCTCTAGATTGAGTTTTTTGAGGAAACTCCAAACTGTTCTCCATAGTGGTTGTATTAATCTAGGTTCCCACCAATAGGATACAAGGGTTCCCTGTTCTCCACATTCTCGCCAGTGTTTGTTATTGCCTGTCTTTTGGATATAAGCCATTTTACTTCTTTGGTTAAGTCAATTCCTAGGTATTTAATTTTATGTCTGGATATTGTAAATGGGATGAGTTTTTGTTTTTCAGGTTGTTGCCTGTTGACATATAACAATACTTCTGATTTTTTTTTTTTTTTTTTTTTTTTTTTTTTTTTTTTTTTTTTTTTGAGACGGAGTCTCGCTGTCGCCCAGGCTGGAGTGCAGTGGCATGATCTTGGCTCACTGCAACCTCTGCCCCCCGGGTTCAAGCAATTCTCCTGCCTCAGCCTCCCAAGTAGCTGGGATTACAGGTGCCCACCACTGTGCCTGGCTAGTTTTTATATTTTTAGTAGAGACGGGGTTTTACCATCTTGGCCAGGCTGGTCTTGAACTCCTGACCTCGTGATCCACCTGCCTCAGCCTCCCAAAGTGCTGGGATTACAGTCGTGAGCCACTGTTCCTGGCTAGAAATGCTTCTGATTTCTAAATGTTGATTTTGTATCCTGCAGCCTGACTGAATTTATCAGTTCTAATAGTTTTCTTGTGAAGTCTTTAGATATTTCCAAAGATAAGATCATATCATCTGCAAACAAGGATAGTTTGATTTCTTCTTTCCCAATTTGGATGCCCCTTATGTCTTTCTCTTGTCTGATTGCCCTAGCTAGGACTTCCAGTGCTATGTTGAGTAACAGTGGTGACAGTGGGCATCTTTGTCACGTTCCAGATCTAAGAAGAAATGCTTTCTGCATAATACTAGCTGTGGGTCTGTCATATATAGCTTTTATTATGTTGAGGTATATTTCAACTATCCCCAGTTTTTTAAGGGTTTTTATCATAAGAGATATTGAAATTTACTAAGTGCTTTTTCAGCATCAATTGAAAGGATCATATGGTTTTTACCCTTCATTCTGTTGTTATGATGTATCATATTAATTTATTTGCATATGTTGAACCATCCTTGCATCCCAGGGATTAAATCCCATCTGATCATGTTGAGTGATGTTTCTCATATATTGTTGAATTTGGTTTGCTAGTATTTTGTTGAGGATTTTTGCACCAATATTCATCAGAGATATTGCCTGTAGTTTTCTTTTTTTTGATGTGCCTTTGTGTACTTTTAGTATTAGCATGATATGGCCTTGTAGAATGAGTTTGGAAGTATTCCCTCCTCTATTACTCAGAATAGTTTGAGTAGCATTGATTTTATTTATTCTTTGAATGTTTTATAGAATTCAGCAGTGAAGCCATCAGGTCCCAGGCTTTTCTTTACTGGGAGACTTTTCATTACAGCTTCCATCGTGTTACTTGTTATTGGTCTATTCAGATTTCTTCCCGGTTCAATCTTGGTAGGTTATGTGTGTCTAGGAATTTGTTCACTTCCTCTAGATTTTCCATGTTGTTACTACTTTCTCAAATATTTGGTAGAAATCAACAGTGTATCCATTCAGGCCAGATTTCCCTATGGAAAGATTTCTGAGTGTAGGTTGAATTTCTTTTCTTTTTTTTTCTTTTTTTTTCTTTTTTTGATGGAGTCTCCCTCTATCGCCTAGGCTAGAATTCAGTGGTGTGATCTCGGCTCACTGCAACCTCCGCCTCCCGGGTTCAAATGGTTCTTTTGCCTCACCGTCTTGACTAGCTGGGATTACAGGCATACGCCACCTCGCCTGGGTAATTTTTGTATTTTTAGTAGAGGCGGGATTTCACCATGTTAGCCAGACTGGTCTTGAATTCCTGACCTCAGGTGATCTGCCCGCCTCAGCCTCCCAAAGTGCTAGAATTAAAGGCGTGAGCCACTGCACCCAGCCAGTTGAATTTCTTTAATAAAAATAGGAAATGTTACACTATGTATTTTTTCTTGAGTAAATTTTGGTAGTTTGTATACTTCAAGATATTTTCTATTAAATGTAAGTTGTAAAACATCTTAGGATAGATTTCTAGTTTTGGTTCACTAGTCCTTTTATGTCCATAGGACTGGTAGTGGTGCTTCTTTCCAACTTGATTTGGTAATTGTTGTGCTCGCTGTCTCTCTCACTCTCTTACTTTACATCCTGCAAATGTTCATATGTTATAATTTCATTGACTTTTTTATTAATGTTCTATCAGTTTAATGTGTGATTCTATAACCCATGAATATTTGTTTTTGTTTTTGTTTTTGTGGTGGAGTCTTTCTTGCCTAGGCTAGAGTGCAGTGGCATGAGCTCAGCTCACTGCAGCTTCCACTTCCCGGGTTCAAGTGAATCTCCTGTCTCAGCCTCGCGAGTCATTGAAAATACAGCTGCGTGCCACCACACCCAGCTAATTTTTGCATTTTCAGTAGAGACAGGGTTTCACCATATTGGCCAGGCTGGTCTCAAAATCCTGACCTCAAATGATCCACCTGCCTCAGCCTCCCAAAGTGCTGGGATTACAGGCATGAACCACCACACCCCGCCAAAACCCATCAATATTTAGAATGCTATTTGTTTCCAAAGTATTGCTTTTTCTCCAAATGTCTTCTTATTGTTGGCTGCTAATTTAATTGAACTTCTTTTTTTTTTTTTTTTTTTTTTTGAGACGGAGTCTTGCTCTGTCACCCAGGCTGGAGTGCAGTGGCCGGATCTCAGCTCACTGCAAGCTCCTCCTCTCAGGTTCACGCCATTCTCCTGCCTCAGCCTCCTGAGTAGCTGGGACTATAGGCACCCGCCACCTCGCCCGGCTAGTTTTTTGTATTTTTTAGTAGAAACGGGGTTTCACCGTGTTAGCCAGGATGGTCTCGATCTCCTGACCTCGTGATCCGCCCGTCTCGGCCTCCCAAAGTGCCGGGATTACAGGCTTGAGCCACCGCACCAGGCCTTAATCGAACTTCTAATCAGGAAATGTTACCTATAGTAACAGTTTGGATGCTTACTTTGTTGTCTAAAAATGATAGATATGGCAGGGCACAGTGGCTCACGTCTGTAATCCCACCACTTTGGGAAGCTAAGGTGGGCGGATCATGAAGTTGGGAGATCGAGACCATCCGGGCCAACATGGTGAAACCCCGTCTCTACTAAAAATACAAAAAAATTATCTGGATGTGGTGGCATGCGCCTGTAATCCTAGCTACTCAGGAGGCTGAGGCAGGAGAATCGCTTGAACCCAGAAGGCAGAGATTGCAGTGAGCCGAGATCGCACCACTGTGCTCCAGCCTGGCGACAGAGCAAGACTTCGTTTCAAAAAAAAAAAAAGATAGATACTTTTGATCAATATGTTTTCAAAAATAAGTATTCCTGGCCTCGCACGGTGGCTCACACCAGTAATCCCAACACTTTGGAAGGCCAAGGTGGCCAGATCCCGTGAGCCCAGGAGTTTGAGACCATCCTGGGCAACATAGCGAAACCTCGTCTCTACAAAAAATACATGTTAAAAAAATTTAGCTGGGTAAGGTGGCATGATCCTGTAGTCCCAGCTACTCAGTAGATGGTTGTGGGAGATCCACCTAGGCCTGGGGAGGTCGAGGCTGCAGTGAGCTATGATAGTGCCATTGTAGTTCAGATGGAGCAACAGAGAGAGACCTTGTTTCAAAAAGAAATATATAAAGAAATACACATTTCCCCTTTGTTGCTATATGTATATTCCAGAAATGTTTCTATACAAATTTACATAATACATAAACAATCGAAAACATCATATATGAGCATCAGATTGAACATTCGTGCCATT